TTCATATTATTGTATCTTGAAGTACTACTTTATGGATTTGAGCGTTGGGCAATTAAGAAAAAACATATACAAAAAGTTTATATTGTCAAGATAAGAATGTTGAGATGGATGTGTGGAGTTACCAGGAAAGATGGAAAAGAAATACTTTTATTCGTGAATAATTAGGTATCACTTCAATAAAAGATAAGAAAAAATCATTTAAGATGATATGAACATGTGCTGAGGAAACCTTCAGATACGGTTGTCAAAAGAGGTGAAATAATTAATGTTAGTGATACGAGAATAACTAGAGGAAGACTTAAAAGGACTTTAATAAAAACTATAAATAAAATTTTAACTACTCTAAACTTAACTAAATATATAGTATTTTACATAGCTTAATAGTGGCAAAAGATCCATGTAGCAGACGCCAAATAGTTAGAACTTATAGCTTTGTTGTTACTATTGTTATATCTGAAAATACTACTATCTTGCAGTAATGTAGGCCTGACCATTTAATTAACTCCAACTTATGTGTTATTTGTGGTTGAATTTTAGGATGTCATATTTTTTGAGCTATTGGTGTTTTACTTCTTGTTCCTCTCAAAGCTCTAATTACTGCCATCCTGTTTAGTCTTTTCCAATGTTCTTCATGAGTAAGCTTTTTTCGTTATTCATCACTAGTCAAGACTTGGATCGGCTTTGTATAGGATCTCTCCACAAGAAATGATTTTTTGTAGTTCTGCTTATAAGGATTTCTATTATCCATGTGCAGGGTCTTTTGCAGGTCTAGGTTTTCTATCATGGTATCTTGCAGGGAAACTCAAGGCTTTTGATCGTCGGGGCCACGTTGCAAAACTGTGCATTGTGTTCCTTCCTCTGCTTTGTGCATCTCTTATTGCAATTTCCCGAGTTGATGACTACTGGCATCATTGGCAAGATGTGTTCACAGGAGGTTTTCTAGGTTTGTTTTGAAATCAATCTAAACTTTTAAGCTGACGTTATTCCATATTCCTGAATATTTTTGTTTCCTTATGCAGGATTGGTAATTGCTTCATTTTGTTACCTGCAATTCTTCCCACCACCTTATGATATAGATGGTATGTACTCTTTTTTATATTATATGCAGTGTCTGTTTGTATGCTCTGTTTTATGAGTTTGATTTCTCAAGAAACACAGTGGTACTTAGTACATTTCAAGTACTAGTGTGAGTTTCTCACCTCATGCATACAAATATTTGTTTAGCATGTAAAATGTTACTCTTTTTAATTCAATTTCTATTCAAAGGCAAACTCCTAGAGTTGTCCAATTTGTGTCACAATCCGACCTCAACCTAGTTTAGCTAAAGTTAACAGTAGTACACGCCCCGTCAACTCTAATACCAATTGTTTAGACCCTGAGATGATTGATGGGATAATTGGTCTGTTAACTTTATTGAGCCTAAACCATTGACCCGAACAAATTGCTTAAGCTAAGGTTACTTACTTCCAATGCGAGACCCTTATAAACCAATCTTAACTCACTTCCGATGTGAGGCTAAGCCAGAGTGTTACAATTTGTATTGTAAACTCTAAGTCGTCATTATTTACTTACAGAATTCCTAATATTGCTACATTTTGCTATTAATGTGCATACCATATTCACGAATTTGTATATCGAAGTCAACATTTTGGTGAAAGTGACATGTCGATATTTAATGGCTTTAGTAACTTGGTTTGCCATGTCCAAAACCATCAAACTCCCTCAAAAATGCTGCTTGCTGTGAATTCACTGCGTAATATATTTTCCTGTCTTCCTAGTTCATATCAAGTATTTCTTCCAGGTTGGTTTCCCCATGCATACTTGCATGCAATGGCTGACTCCAGACACAACGATCAACCGACTGCAAACCCTCTTCAGTCGAGGCCATCAGAGATCGAGACTGTTTATGTTTCATCCGAGGGTCAAGATGGGATCCACTCGAGGGACACAAGCTCGATTCTGGACTCGATGGAGGCTGGGAGAAGACAGTGAGTTCGACGCTGGGATGCTGCATGAGTGTAGCCTAGATTTTCCACATCCGAATAGTTGGAAACATGATTCATCATCTCTTCTTACCTCTCACCATGTTTTCATTCTTGATCCCCAGCAACTGCTTTAATTTCCCCTTCAAATGGGAAATTGAAGGCAGTGTGTAAGATTCATTCTTCTCTCTTCTTCCTGCTGTGTAGGGAGGGTCTCTCCTCTGCTCTCTATGTATACATGATGAACTCCAACATCTTGTTTAAGTTATTCTGCATGCTGAAACATTAGAATTGTCGAAACATGCAGCCAGTGATGGAGAAATCTTTCCCTGGCACCAAAACTGTAATTGGTAAAGACTGTTTGACTGTTCGATCCATATTTTTTGTGTTCGAAAATAGTGTTTCGCAGTGTACTATGGTTTAGTTTAAAAGGAATGTTCCAAGTTTATCGTCTCACATCAGCGAATTCCACGATCTTCTTCTTTGTCATGCAAAGACAGACAGCAGAGGCAGTCATTCCTCGTTGTCATTTTATTGGATGGTAAGATAGCATTACAGCATCACTAACTGAGCATGCAAGCAAGCTTATTTATATAGATCGATGTATATATATATATGCTTGCAGGAGATGGTGTGGAAGAGAGGCAACAGATCAGTCACCGCAGTTGACGAACTGGTAGTTGACAATCAAGTGGCCTTGTTTGTAGCCGCCTCCATCGGTATCCAGTTGCGAGAAGACGCCTTGGTCTAAATCTAACCCTCCGTTGGCGCACTGGTCCACGATCCTGACCGTAGCCTGAGTTCCCGTCGCCTTGTTCGTCACCTGCAAGACGCTCGCCAGGGACATGGGTCAGTGTCGAGTCCTCGACCTTTTGCTCTCCCAACACTGCTTCAGTGGATTGGGATGGGTCGACTTAGAACGTATAGTATCTGCGGCGTGGAGTTGTTACCCGCAAGCACTTGCCACAGGAGTCGCGGCCGGTAGGGCCGACGGGGCCGCAGAAGGCGGTCCAGCCGTACTTCTTCCTCCAGGCCAGGGGCTTATTGGCGTCCCACGTCGCGCAGTAGGCGCTAACACGGTTCAGGTCCCAGTTATTCTGAGCCGGGTAGTAGTAGTGGTACGTCGCCCGGACGTTGGACGCTTGCTGCGCGCTGGCCGCCGCGGCGACGCAGAGCAGCACGGCGACGACGGAGCTCACCTTGGCGCTCATCGTCATGACGGCTTTGCTTCGGATGAAAACGGTGGCGGCATGGAGGCCGGCATTTATAGATGTCGCTGGTGCAAGTTTTCTCGGATTTGCGTGCAAAATGGAGCCAATCTGCGTGACGTGTCTGCTTTCCACGTGACCGGAAAATTGAAGCCAATTTGACTTGAAGATGAATCGAGGCGCCCGACGCAGACGGGGCCGCCTTTGGAGGTGTAGTACGCGAGCAAATGACATGAGATTCGATGGTTGGGCACATGCATGGAGTCACGATTCCAACCTCGGAAACCAAATGTTAGAACCAAAAAATCCAATCAATGGTGTTGCGGGAAACAACTGTATGCCGTGGTCTCGGGGCCGACGCGGCTTGGTTCGGGTCCGAATGCGCGGGGATCCGATGCGACGCTCCTCGGGGCAGTCGGGGTGGCCGGTCACGACAGTCCGGAGGGAATGCAACGTGGGGGGGAAGCCTCGGCCGGTGCGGCGTATGGAAGGTGCGACCTCGCCTTCATTCCTGCACACAGGTCGGGTCGGAAGCTTGGCCCGACCCCTCCGACGATCAAGTCAGATGATGTGGAAGGGAGTTTTTTTCGTCCAGAGGTCCCCCCCTTTTTCGTTTAGGACTCGGGGGTATTTATAGGGTAATTTAGTGTTACCTGATGTGCCTGCCTGTGTGAGGCAAGATCGTACCTCCGATGGCGTCTGACACTGTTATTGACGTTGTGTGGAGAACCGAACTGTCGCAGGGTATGGGCGAAGGTCGGTTGTCGTCCTCCCCTACCGTGGTCAAGCGCACGGGGTCGGAAGTCGTTGCCTGATAGCGGATGATGTCAGCGTGTGTCGAGTCAGCGTTATTGCCTTCCTCATTAGGCAGAGTGGCGCCCAGGCGAGGCCGTCGTCGTGATACGTCATGTCGTCGTTATTACCCCTATCAAATGGGGTGAGAGAGAGAGAGAGTGAGCCACTAAAACCTTTCCTCGCGCACGGTCAAGTCATCTACCCTTTATCCACGTCTTGACTACACAGCATCCTTCATTATCATAAGATGGAAAACTTTGGTTCGCCACCAACAAGTCTCTCGTCCCGACCAATCGGGACGAAGAATAGAACCCACCAAAAACGCAAGGTTGGGTCTTCTGACATGATGCGATACTTTTTGCATGAATCAAATTAAGATAGCATTACAGTGCAAGAACTACTTGAGAACTCACCATGGAGAGTATCCATATCCCACGCAGCAGGCCCGGATGTCATGAACCTGCACCGAACGACATCGTATCCACGCAATCGATCAAACTCCTGCCGGGCAGAAGCAGTATCTCCACAACCCAAGCACGGACATCTTCACGAGAGAATTCTGCAAATGAACACGGACCATGGATCTGTTAAACGACAGAAGATCTGTGACGAGAGAATACACTTGTAAAGATCAAAACCTGTGGACTGGATAGAGACAAAACTGATCTCGCGAGTCGAGTACTCGGGGTGAGGAACTGCAGAGCCTCTTTACCTGGGCTAGTGTGTTGCACTTCTCAAGAAGAACAAGGAAGCGATCCCAGCTGCACAGAAGCCGCCATAACTAGCAAACGAAAGCAAGGATGTAGAATATACATTGGAATTTACGTCAAAAGGAAGAATGTGTATGATTTGCATAATGCCGTAGTAGGTACACCTCCTTTCCTCATCCTTTATAGGAGTGATCAGTTTCGTTTGCGTGAAGTTTCTTTCGTTCTGCAGTTAGACTGATACATATGAAAACAGGCTTGCTCTTCTCGGTACTTATAACTGTGAGTTTTAACTGACGCAATAAAGGATGCCGCCGTTGGTCGACCACGACCAGATTTATGTTTTCCCGATGGAAAAGCTGTGGGTGCTCTTCTCCGTACTTATAACTGTGAGTTTTAACTAACGCAATACGAAAAATCTATGTATAAATAGAAGAGGGATATGTTAATATATTTAAGCTTTTTCACTTGTTCAATAAGGCTTCTTCAATAATTGTTATTATCTTTTATTATTTTTATCATAGTACCAGTGAGAAAAGTGAAGCTTCGCTCTTGTCTTCGACCAACGACCAACGCCGTTGAGAAAAGCAAAACTTCGCCCTTGCTTTTAGCCAGCGACCAACACCGCTGCAGCTAAATTCCTAAGAGGCTCTGCGGCCAATCCTCATCTTCCTCACCACGATAGTCTTCGTTGATCTGCCAACAATTGGCGGACTTAAGGAGAACGAAGGACGGGCTTAAGGGGAACGAAAGGAACGCCTGTGCCCTCACAACAATAGCAATCGCAGCAGCAACAGCAGCAACGATATGCTCTTGTTCTACTCACGACTCTCGCTCGTAAACCATTCTTTGTATCGATCCAAGTCGCAACAGCAACAGTGATATACTTTTGCTCTACTCACGACTCTCGTTCATAAACCATTCTTTGTATCGATCCAAGATTGGTATCTTGACAGGAGTACCATCTTGCGGGGACATGATAGAAGATAAGATTTCTCCAACTATACGAGAAAATCTCTCTATTCTGTCGAGGAAAATCCTCCATTCTGTTGAGGAAAATTCTTCCTTCTAATATGTATAAATAGGAGAGGGACATATTAATGTATTTAAGCTTTTTCACTTCTTCAATAATTATTTTTATCTTCTATTATTTTCATCACTGAGTTTATTACGTTTAACTTCTTTTCTTATCAGGGTCCTTTGCAGGTCTTATCAGGTTTTCTATCATGGTATCTTGCAGGGAAACTCAAGGCTTTTGATCGTCGGGGCCACGTTGCAAAACTGTGCATTGTGTTCCTTCCTCTGCTTTGTGCATCTCTTATTGCAATTTCCCGAGTTGATGACTACTGGCATCATTGGCAAGATGTGTTCGCAGGAGGTTTTCTAGGTTTGTTTTGAAATCAAGCTAAACTTTTAAGCTGAAGTTATTCCATATTACTGAATATTTTTTGTTTCCTTATGCAGGATTGGTAATTGCTTCATTTTGTTACCTGCAATTCTTCCCACCACCTTATGATGTAGATGGTACGTACTCTTTTCTATATTATATGCAAGTCTCTGTTTGTATGCTCTGTTTTATGAGTTTGATCTCTCAAGAAACACAAATGGTACTTAGTACATTTCATGTACTGGTGTGAGTTTCTCACCTCATGCATACAACCTCAGCCTAGTTTAGCTTAAGTTAATAGTAGTGGATGCCTTGTCGGCTCTAATACCAGTTGTAAAGACCCTGATGATTCGTCTGTTACTTTTATTAAGCCTACTGATTTAAAAAATATTAGGCATCAAGGTCTTAAAATGACCGAGGCACTAGGTGCTCGTCCGAGTGAAACAAAGCGCTCTTAAATATTAAAATATAAAAAAATATATAATATAATTTAAAATATAATTATTTAGATAAAAATATGATATTAAATTAAATATATACTATTAACAGTATATTACTTAATGTTAACCATAGATAGAGGGGGAGAAAACAACCGTTAACAATAACAAATGAAGATAAAAGGGTCGCTAACGATGAAAACTGATGGAAAGTGGCAACGGTAGTGATGGGAAGGCAATGGTGAGAAGTTGGCAGTAGCGACGGCGAAGGATTATTTTAGGACAGTTGTGGTCGGACTGTGAACTGTCACGAACGATCGTCACGCATATGCAACAACTTCGTTCAACGAACCATTCGTCGCTTTTGCATGCTTGTACAAAGACATGGCAGTATGTTTTACCTTAGTTTTGTGTATTTTTTCTTGAAAAAAATGCATGTTCGAATAGATTGCCACGCTATAGTGCGAAGGCTCACTGCATGGGCAAAACTACCCAAAATGGTTTCGTTTTCGCGTGTCACATCCTGTTTTCTACAAACCGCAGCTGTACGCGAAATGTCAGCCATCTCAGCACTCTGAAACCTCCTGGTTGGCACAGGACTAGATGAGGCTTCGGTATATTGTCGGGCATTGAATAATCTTCATAAGTTCACACGTTAACTTGACGGGAACTTGCCTTTGCGCCCGGCACCCGGTGAGCAGTTGTTTGTAGACTTGCAACTGTTCATTCTACATTCTAAAGTCGTTTTCTTCTTTCTCTCTTTTCTCTCTTGTACTCAAGGTGCTCACTGAATTACTTATAAAGCTTCCCTCTTCACGAAATGTCAGGACTTATCCGTCGTTCGTTTTCAATCCAATCACCTTTCTATTTTACAAGTCCGTCGGGACCTGTACGAGGTTGCAACTAGGTTGACCCTATGCGGACATATATGTCGCAAGGACACCTCCTGACTTAGGCAATCCGAGCTAAGTCCGAGGAGTTAACACAAAGGTGCTTCACGACTTAGGCAACTCTAGCTAAATCTGTAACTTTGTTATAAGGGTGCCTCATGACTTAGGCAATTCTAGCTAAGTCCATGACAGGATGATAACAACAGTTGTGGTGAAAGTTGTGGACAATAGTGGCGGCATCGACAAAAGCTGTGAATAGCAGTAACGGTAGAAGTTGCAGATAATAGCAGTAGCAAAAATAGAAGTTGCATACAGCAACAGCGACGACAGAAGCTGCGAACAACAGTAGCTGCAGTGACGAAAGCTCTAGAGAGCGTCCGTTGGTGGCAGAAGAACCTGTGGTCTTCTCCCTTGACAGTGGAAGGAACTATATACGAAGCAACAGTGAAAGGAAGCTACAAGCTCTTGCTAAGTCATCAGACTCGTCCGTCGACGACAAAGGAAGGCTCAATCCACTACGTCTGTGTTGGAGACAACAACATAAAGCATCGGCGGCGGAGGCAAAAGCAACGCTAAAGTTGGCTCGAGGTCGCGCGAGCATGAAAGGTGGCTTTTGAGGGTAAGAAACTATGCTATTGAACCGAACCAAACTTAAAAATCTAGTTCAATTTGCTTATTTGGACCCGGCGCTTGCTTGAAGTGCCCAAGCGGTGCCTCATTGAAGTGCATCGCTAGTCCACACACAAGGCGCTTAGGCCTCGCTTGAGCGCCTATTAAGCTAAGGTTACATTGTTTAAGCTAAGGTTACATCCGATGTGAGACCCTTATAAACCATAAACCAATCTGAGCTCACTTCCAATGTGAGACCCTTACTGTATTGCAAATTCCAAGCAGTCATTATTCACTTGTAGGATTCCTAATCTTGCTATGTTTTGCTATTAATGTGCATACCATATCCACGAATTTGTATATCGAAGTCAACATTTCACCAAATTTCACAGGGAAAGCGACATGTCGATATTTAATGGCATTAGTAACTTGGTTTGCCATGTCCAAAACCATCAAACTCCCTCAAAAATGCTGCTTGCTGTGAGTTCACTGCATAATATATATTTTCCGTCTTCCTAATTCATATCTGGTATTTCTTCCAGGTTGGTTTCCTCATGCGTACTTGCATGCAATGGCTGACTCCAGACACAACGATCAACCGACTGCAAACCCTCTTCAGTCGAGGCCGTCAGAGATGGAGACTGTTTATGTTTCATCTGAGGGCCAAGATGGGATCCACTTGAGGGACACAATCCTGATTCTGAACTCGATGGAGGCTGGGAGAAGACAGTGAGTTCGACGCTGGGATGCTGCACGAGTGTAGCATAGATTTTCCACATCCAAATAGTTGGAAACATGATTCATCATCTCTTCTTACCTCTCACCATGTTTTCATTCTTGATCCCCAGCAACTGCTTTAATTTCCCCTTCAAATGGGAAATTGAAGGCAGTGTGTAAGATTCATTCTTCTCTCTTCTTCCTGCTGTGTAGGGAGGGTCTCTCCTCTGCTCTCTATGTATACATGATGAACTCCAACATCTTGTTTTAAGTTATTCTGCATGCTGAAACATTAGAATTGTCGAAACATGCAGCCACTGATGGCGAAATCTTTCCCTGGCACCAAAACTGTAATTGGGAAAGACTGTTTAACTCTTCAATCCATCTTTTTGTGCTCAAAAATAGTGTTTCGCAGTGTACTATGGTTTTGTTTAAAAGGAATGTCCCAAGTTTATCGTCTCACATCAGCGAATTCCACGATCTTCTTCTTTGTCATGCAAAGACAGACAGCAGAGGCAGTCATTCCTCGTTGTCATTTTATTGGATGGTAAGATAGCATTACAGCATCACGAACTGAGCATGCAAGCAAGCTTATTTATATAGATCGATGTATATATATGCTTGCAGGAGATGGTGTGGAAGAGAGGCAACAGATCAGTCACCGCAGTTGACGAACTGGTAGTTGACAATCAAATGGCCTCGATTGTAGCCGCCACCATCGGTATCCAGTTGAGAGAAGACGCCTTGGTCTAAATCTAACCCTCCGTTGGCGCACTGGTCCACGATCCTGACCGTAGCCTGAGTTCCCGTCGCCGTGTTCGTCACCTGCAAGACGCTCGCATGGGACATGGGTCAGTGTCGAGTGCTCGACCTTTTGCTCTCCCAACACTGCTTCAGTGGATTGGGATGGGTCGGCTTAGAACGTATAGTATCTGCGGCGTGGAGTTGTTACCCGCAAGCACTTGCCACAGGCGTCGCGGCCGGTCGGGCCGACGGGGCCGCAGAAGGCGGTCCAGCCGTACTTCTTCCTCCACTCCAGGGGCTTATTGGCGTCCCACGTCGCGCAGTAGGCGCTAACACGGTTCAGGTCCCAGTTATTCTGAGCCGGGTAGTAGTAGTGGTACGTCGCCCGGACGTTGGACGCTTGCTGCGCGCTGGCCGCCGCGGCGACGCAGAGCAGCACGGCGACGACGGAGCTCACCTTGGCGCTCATCGTCATGATGGCTTTTCTTCGGATGAAAACGGTGGCGGCATGGAGGCCGGCATTTATAGATGTCGCTGGTGCAAGTTTTCTCGGATTTGCGTGGAAAATGGAGCCAATCTGCGTGACGTTTCTGCTTTCCACGTGACCGGAAAATTGGAGCCAATTTGACTGGAACGATGAATCGAGACGCCCGCCACAGACGGGGGCCGCCTTTGGTGGTGGAGTGCTCGAGCAAATGACATGAGATTCGATGGTCGGGCAGATGGATGGAGTCACGTTTCCAACCTCAGAAACCAAATGTTCGTACCAAATCCAATCAATGGGGCGAGAGACAGAGTGAGCCACTAGAAACTTTCCTCTCTCACCATTACGCTGGCACAGTCAAGTCATCTATGCTTTATCCATGTCTTGACCACACAGCACCCTTCATTATCATAAGATAAAGAGAGATGGAAAACTTCGTTTCGCCACCAAGTCTCTGCCCATCGTGACTAGGAATAGAACCCACCAAAAACACAAGGTTGGGTCTTCTTACATGATGCTATACTTTTTGCACGAATCAAATTAAGATAGCATTATAGTGCAAGAACTACTTGAGAACTCACCAGGGAGTTTCCATATCCCACGCAGCAGGCCCGGATGGCATGAACCTGCATTGAACCGACATCGTATCCATGCAATTGATCAAACACCTGCCGGGCAGAAGTAGTATCTCCACAACCCAAGCACAGACATCTTCATGAGAGAACTGCAAATGAACATGGACCATGGATCTGTTAAACGACAGAAGATCTGTGATGAGAGCATACACTTGTAAAGATCAAAACCTCTGGACTGGGGAGAGACAAAACTGATCTCGCGAGTCGAGTACTCGGGGTGAGGAACTGCAGAGCCTCTTTACCGGGGCCAAGATCTGGTTGAAGTGGGTTAGTGTGTTGCACTTCTCAAGAAGAACAAGGAAGCGATCCCAGCTGCACAGAAGCCATAACTAGCAAAAGAAAGCAAAGGATGTAGAATATACAGATTGTAAAATCCAGCTGCTGCTGCATAACCAGAATGCTCAAGGATTTCAGAGCACAGATTTGTATTTCTATATTGATACTTTTGATTGCCACAAAAGGTGGACGATCATTCTTGCACATAACAACCCACCACTACGACCATGAACAGAAGATCTTCCAACTTCACTGCCATATAATATATACACCAAAGAAAAAAAAATGTTTTACACAATGAGCGGTTGTTCGCCTTCAAGCTCAGAGATTACAATAAGCAAATCTGTCTTCTCCAGGAAAAGAGGTTCCGTCTTGTTTCTTGGATTTATAACCTAACATAATGTGGAGGAAGTTAACATGGCATCCAAATTAGTGATAGTGAAACTGTGTGGGTAGGCAGTACAAATAAACTACCTGCTTGTTTCCTTTCACATAACCTATTGCAACTTCTCGGCGTAGGATTGCTCTTTCAGATAGCTCCAAGAAAGATGGCATCTCACCCTCCTTCATGTAGAAGCTTATATCCTGTTGGCGAGGTATAATGTGTTTCAGACACTATTTACTTGAACAACACACTGGTAATGGCCTGGCCCGTCTCCGACCACAATCATTCATAATGAAGTTTGATCCAGGCCCATTATGAACAAATGTTCCAGTTGCAGAATTTGGCAAATACAATGAAACTCCTGATATTAGAATGAATGAAACCAATTGAGACTGGAATTAAAGAAGATAAGAAAATACCTTCAGATATATCTCATCTCCTTCAGCATTAAGGATGTCTTTCCAAACCTCATTCAGCTCAGCGCTTTCTGCCACTGCCATCCAGAAGGCAGGGTGTGCTTTATTTAGTTTATAAACAGTAGGGATGGTGTCTGCAAACATAACCAAAAGTGACGAAACTTTAAAAGAAAAAAAAGGGATACCTTGAGCAGTTACAAGGCTCATCACTTCCTCAGCACCAATAAATGAAAGGGATGGTCTTATTCTTGAAATCTATACAGAAGATGAAACGATTCATAAAATTGTTATTCCTTATTCTTTGGGTAGCTAATGAAGTTAGAGAATTACTTGTTTCCCAAGTCTTGTATCAACAATTTCAGCAACTAGGTTTTCCACCTGAAAAAAAGAAGTGTGAGAATTGAAGTTATGAAGTGGAATTTGAAAAGCAAACAAATGCAGTAGAACAAAATTTAATTCGATATGAAAGAAGAATAACACAAATGGAGAAAAGGGAGCACATGGATGATCTATGCTTTCTCAGATTCTCATTTTGTCTGGAAGTGGAGCAGGAACCAAAATCAACCAGTAAATTTCTTATTGTTGTAAAGTTTACAAGAAGGCCAAAATCTACAGCAATTTTCTGATATGGCTCCTATGAACCAATATAGATGATTAGAGGAAATAAAAAGATAAATGTTATAAAGATTTGCAACTGAAATTCTCTCACAAGTTGCTCCACAATATTTATCCATGCTTAACCTGTGCTGCATGGTCTAGAACCAAATGTTTTCAAAGAACCAAAATAACAAATAAATGATCTCAAGAACTAATTGAATGCTATTTTTTAAAACAGAAATATATAAGAGTGCTGGTGTATGGAGACAATTTGTAACACAAATCTTATGCAGTAGGTAATTAATCAGATGCCGCATGCTACAAAAAGTCCAGAAGAGCAAATTTATTAAATGCACTGGCACAAATAACTGGAATTCTTCAATAGTGAACGCAAACCTTTATCCCATGTTTTTTGCAAATAATTTCAGCAAGAAGAAGGGAATAAGTTGTTTGTTTATCTGCTTGGGATGGATCTGTGAAGAAGATATGTCAATTGAGTATATACTTTGAAAATGGGCATTAATATAGAAATTACCTCCAGCAAGCCATTCTTTGTCAGATATCACAACAATTGATAGAGGGACATCATCCCCCTTCAACGAAGAATTCCTAATATTTAATATAGCTTCCTTCAGTGTTTCATAATACATGGGATTGCCCATCTATGCATAACATCATCACAAACCAACAGCCTGTTAGAGCAAGACAAACATGCAGACAAACACACTAATACAGTACACGATATGCTTAAATATGTATATATAGAGAGATACCCTGTGAGAAACTTTGACATTCTTTAATTGGCTTTGGAGCACAGGGTTCACTATACTGTTCCTTTCACTGATGGAAGCTTCTGACAATATTTCCTACAAAATTCAGTATGCATTTTCCATGACTAAAAATTCATTTCAAATATTTATTCACTAATTCCCAGATATATTAGAATTGAAAATGATATGAAAAGAATCTTTTGGAAGTTAACCAACATTATTCTAGTTTATTTAGGTAAGTGCTCAATAAAGGAACAGAAATAACATGGTCAAATGCAAGGAATTGGGTCAACAGCTTTCTAGATAACCTTGTACAATATTCGTGTAAATGTTTCTCAAGTGCTATGTAAAGTCATGTGAAAAAAATGCTTTCTTATCTTCTCTAAAGTTTATATAGTCATGTGAAAATAACACTTGCATTAATTTCCAAGTATTTGGAACAGACCAATGTACTACCAGGTCCAAGGTAATAATCATATTCTCGAATCATATCAGCAACTCTTGGTCGCCATCCAATCATGAATATGCACTCTCGTGGTCCAAGATGCCAATCACTAGTCTGCACAAAGTTTGGAACTTGTCAAAAGCAATGAATAATCTTCTAAAATACTGTTGTAAAGCCATTTGACTACCGTCATACCTTGGAACTTGATTTTGAAGGGCGTTTTACTATATTTTCGAGCCTTGATTTCCTAATCTTGGTGTCAAAGCAAACTTCAGTTTCTGAGCATTCTAGATTTTGATAATTTGAAGTATGCTGCAAATTTGATGCATCCGGGAGCAACATTTGTGGCATTTTTTCCCCATAAACAGGAGCTATAAGAAGCAGCTATGATTGAAATAAAAGTTAGGAGACAAAAAAGCATAGCAAACAAGGAAACTGTTTGTGAATCTTGTTATGATAAAGGTCTAGGAATGTTACCAACTGAAAAACACCTACTACATTTGTAATTAACAAAATACTTATTTAAAAAGCATAACAATGCTTGGTTTATTATCATGACTGACTGCCCTGCCAATTTTGATCCATTATTCTAGCTAGATGGCCTTATGTAGAAAATTTGTTTGGTCTTATGATTTAAACATTACAAATATGGATCATCTAGGTTGTGACCAGATTAATTAGAGTATATGAGAAATTGGTGGTTATGACTAACCAACAAGCATAAACTCAAAAAACTTACTCATAAGATTTGATAAATTATATTAAGAAGGTGATAGTTTCGATGAACCACTAGAAAACGTCTAAACAATCATTAGGTATCATGTAGAAACATAAAAGATCATGCCCTTCTTTGTATCAAGTATCAACTTTGTTTTATATTGACCATGTACTTAATCAGTTTCATTTATTCTTTTATCTCAATATACCTAGCAAATCTGTAAAGCCTTTCTTATTTTCTGCATGTTCCCTAGTAAGTTCCTACTGGCTAATTGAACATAAATCTTGGATCCTTGTGGGATGGGAATCATACAAAACGGGCAGCACAGCTAATGAGCATCCTGTACTCCTGCAAGTCAAAAGTTTGTTCCCCTTGGCTTGTTCCTATAACTAAAACGCTAGTGACCCAGATGGAAAAGAACAACCTTATCTTGGTGCCAAGGCTCATGCTCTAGGGCAGTTATTAAATAAATATCAGGTTAGAATAATAAGTAACTTCTATGCATGGCCTTGCTGCCTCCTAGTAGTAGGAAAACACTTAATGTACATAACACTTAGTACAATTTTTCCCTGTCTAGCAGCAAATACTAGTGTGATGAAACCTTTCCAGTGGAAGTATAAATTGGAAGAAAATTATCATAGTTCTACGCTTCTACTACCATCCGCCAATGGGTGAACACAAATTATTCATTTAGTCTTTATTGACATTGTTGTACGATTGATGTCTAGAGAAGCATGAATTAATATGATGTTCAGTAGTATCAAAGGATATCCATACTTTGTCTGTTTGTGTAATCACTTCATCATCATTTGGGTGAAAATATATTTTTCCAGATCTAAAGAGGCCACACACCACTGCCTGGAGAAAGTAAAAAAAAATGATTAGATAAATACTATACCTCAGAATCTACAGAAGAAAAAAGCATTTTATAATTTTTTTTAGTTCTACCTCCTGGATGGCTTGTCTTGCATACTTGTACTTGGAGTCTATTAGACATGAAAAGCTACAAAGGTTGAACACATTTTCTGTAAGCAAGGAAAACAAACTTCAAGACTCCATGGAGGTAAGGAAATCCACTGTCATTACTAAAATCATAAAAGAATTCCATTTATTTAATGAAAAGATGTTATCTTCATAATCTTATTTGGACACCCCGTCGATCAATTTTGAGGACATCAAACCCATCAACTACCAAATCCCCAAATTTTATAGTTAGAACATGTAATCAAAAAAGTTTAGGATGTATATGAATCTGGGACTTTGATATCTACTAGCTCATTAATCCTCCGGATTTCTAGTTCAAGCATGATCATTTTCATATAGACTTACTGTAACAGACATTAAGAATTATCAAATTGGAATCCAAAATAGGCCCAGTATGAATCAATGCAGAGAATAATGGATAGATTATGAAGCTTCAAGGACAAATAGAAGTCATGTAACATTTTATGGGATAAAAAGAGAAGCAAAGCCTTTACTAGATCATGTTTCTAAAAGACATCAATTTTCATTTGTACAAAAGAAGGTTTCTTTATTGTCAATATCTGGAATTATAATACATTGTCTTTAATATTTTGTACCAGAATAACTCGGATACATTTGTAAATCACTTCAAAGACCAAAATGATTTAGCAAGGAAATGATTAGTTTCTTAATACTAAAAGCAAACATCTTACAAGCAAGAAAAATTTTTGACATGGCAAACCATCTAAAATCAATCAAACAAGAGATGGTGACTGTATTAACTGTCTAATGAGAAATAATCTTGCGAGCTACATGCTTGTAATCTTATTAAACGGAAGAAATGAAAATTAAGTAGAAGGCTTAACTAGGAAGCAACTTAATGGACATGCCAATGTGGCAAATGGTTATCAACAATATTAACAGTTTAAGGATGAAAACAAGAAGAAACTTCAACATTTCAGAATATGGCATTTGCTACTACATTCTGCTAAAAAAATACATATATGCCATTAAAAAAACATATAAGTGAATTATAACTTATAACTATATTAAGTTCATTTAAGTAATACTTTACTTAACAAAATAAAATATATGACCATATAAATGCTTCCTAACAGAATATATGGATAAAAAATTTTCATCATAAATATGATATTTTAGAATATTTTACAGAAGAACATCTTGCAATCAGTTTGACAAGCAGAGTTTCTAATGCATAAAAACATTTTTTTTAATTTTTATTGCACTAATAATAGCACTTCTTTCTTTAGTCAATCTCAATTATTATCATGCAGTTAGGGAAAAAATTACTTCGATAATTAAGCAAGTGTCTGTAAACTTTGAGGAGACCCTTTTGCCGAGAACACTGAACAAATAATTTGGAAGCAACCATCTCAACTGGCTGCACATTCAGGCCTGTGATTGACTTAAGAAGTTCAGATGTAGTAGAGCTGGAAGCCTACATTCAGAAAAAATAATTGTCAAGGTCACAACTTCGAATATAAATAAATAAGCACTGACTCAAGCAAAATTCCAGATTATGGCAAGAAATGCTAGTGTGATTTTATCACAGACAATGTCAAGGTTATCATGCCCCACAACCTGAATAATCTGGCAAGGAAGGAAACTTGTTGGATCTTATCACCATCATTTCAACATTTTATGTTTCCTATCGAAGTGGACTTTTATTAGCATATGTTGGAGCACTAACTTCTCGATGTTACAGAAATTCAGAAACTAAACTAACATAAGAACTAAAAAATCAAGAGGTTGTTCTCTGTTAGCAACATAGAATTTCAATTAATTACTTTTTAAAAATAAAATTTTTCAGCTGCACAAATAATATACCTCCACTATGGTAGGGACAGATGCCACATTGGGAAGAGGCTGAAGAGCTATCAATGAGAGAAATGCATCTGTGTCAACTTCATACCTGATTATATTAACTTCAATAAGCAAATTATCAACATGTAAAGCATTAGAAAAGAACTAAGACAAAATTCCATGTAGATTAGGATGAAATCACTTGGAACTACTGGCAGTGAAATAGTCCACATAACAATCAGCATTGTTAAAGTCTAATATGCTACTGGTGTGTTAACATAGAGTATTCTCAAAAATTGTAACTGAAAGAAATCTTTGTGAACATCTATAGATGCAATAATATTTTTGAGCATAAATTCAGATGCTGCAATGTATCCCCTGAAATGCATGCCCATGATGCTTGAAAAATGTTGCAATCGTGTACCCGGACAAGCTCAACACACCTAAGTCAATTTTTTTATATTGGATTCTTATTACAGTGTATGTCACTCACACGTGGACAAGAACATGAGACTCATCACTTGTGATCACTTGTGCAACAATACACTAACCAATCAGATAAGACACCTAAGTCAATTTTATGAGCATCATTTTCCATCTCATAACTAAGTCAGTTTTACGAGAACCAGAATATGCACCATTTTTTATCTCATAAGACCTCATAGGTCTTTCATAGGATAATCAACAACTATTTGTGCTATATTTCTGATTTCTTAGTATTATTCCAGTATGCAAGCCACCATATGAAAAAAGGGTTCTGCATTTTGTTTATTGCATATTAGTTGCATCTGGCCAATATATCATTGACAAATTTCACATGAATCTTACTTAGAATTGCAAAGTTCTCAAAAGTCAAAACAATTATAACAGACTATGAGTTGTTAGTGAGCACAATTCTTGATCCTAGTTATGGATTCCCCTTATCATTGTGGCATAGAAAACAAGACTATGAAAACAGCAAGCATCAGAATATCACGAAAAGATCAAGCATTCTTGATGTCAAAATTAAATGAAAATTTCTAGCTATGTCATTTATAGGAAAACATATTACAGTTTCCAACAACATTGTTTGATTTGACTATTTTGAGTTTACACTGACTTCCATAAGAGATCCATATGACAACTCGCAACTTCATATGCAATTGCCACACCAAATTGCCAGCAACTGTTGAATAACAAAATGTTATTCAACAAAAACTGTTAATTCAAAACAGTTTGTGTAAAACCAAAACAAAATGTTAGTATATGCAAGCAACTTTTTGTGTAAAATCCAACTTGAAGATTCAAGCCAAGTGGTGTCCTATACCAGTAATCGCAAGGAAAGATTCTTGCCATAACCCGTAACACAACTATGGTCCATTTAGCTATCAGGGAATACATACTTCAATGTCCCTAGACTCACAACACAATTGCCGCTGTCTTTGATCTCCTATCAAAAAACCAGCAACTACAGTTTACTAGACCTCACCACATGTAATGCACATCTTACTTTAAAATTGCACCGGAACTCAAAAACAAGTCACCCTTGGAGAAAATACTGCATGGAGTCATGGACTAGATGAAATCCATTTTCAAGTCAGTGGAAACAAAATGCTTTCTATCCAGTCAATCAACAAAGTAAAAGATGAACCATCAGGGTTGACTCTGGCTATGACATGGACATACCCCTGTGTCTTATGTTATATGGTGGTATGAATATCACCTTAACTATGCATTGACAATTCCAAATCAAAACAATTTTCATCCATTTATCATTAATTGGTGGCTGGTGCTACTTCCAACTTACCAACAATGCATTAATTACTCAACCTATTTCTTCTTGTAGCATAAAAATAAATGTCTTAGACAATTTGGTAAGATGACTTAAATACTTCTGATTACAATATTTTTTTAATTGAAAAGCCTGATAATTTTGAATAAGTAGAATTATAAGTTATACTAACCGATCATTCTTCGTTGGCAAAATAATTATGGAACGTGCCTTGTCTACTGCTGCTCTTTCAAAAGATTTTGTCAAGCTTAGACTGCAACTGCAATGACAACATTTTCTAAAAACATTACAATAAAGGAAATATATTATGAAGAAGCTAATGACTTTAATGAAATAAAGTTTACAGGATGACATTCAGCATCATTGTCAATATATCTGGTTTTGTAAAGTAAACAGAGTAATTATCAACCATTTCATATGTCTGTAGTGTTATCATGGTTTGCAATATTGTACCGTACCACTCGGTATGAGCGGTACATACCAGTCCGATAGAAGACCGGTATGAGCAGTACATCAGTACATCTTAGTGTATCATATGTTGATACGTTCGGTGCAGCTCGGTATGTACCGTACCAATAGCTGATCGGTATATTGGTACGATACAATATTCAGAACCTTGAGTGTTATAATCCAAACATAATCCTCCTAGTTCTACATAGTGTTGTTTGGTAACAAACTAACAATGGTATCAGAAGCCAAAAAAATGATATAAACTTCCTAATAATGCAGAGATCTAAAGCATACATTGGTAATTTTAAAATAAATTATCGCTTTTAGAGGTAATTCACATGGATCTTCATCCTATATTCATCTGATATGGATCAGCAATTTTACCTTTCTTACAAAGAACTGAAACAAATCTAGTGTGGAACTGAAGATATGGTACCTCTCTATTATGCAAGAGGTGTGTATAAGACTAAGTAAAAATATGATGGACAGATGGAGCATCCCAGTACTGCCCTGATGCTGAATGCAAAGATGCATTATGAGACTACTGCTCCAGAAGTTTGCTCAACTGCATTTTCAAATTTTTTGCAAAGCTGCTGGCATAATAGTTGATGAAAATATTGCAAAAGCTCATCAGCTCAGAATGCTGTAAACAAAGGAAGATCAATCACGAGATAATTTATGGGCAGGGCATGAGATTATCTGCTTCAGTCACACAAATGCAATTCAGATGTTGGTCATCAAATTAGACTTTGAAAAGGCATCTCACACAGTTAGAGTTTCATACAAAAGCAAAAACTTATCAGAATCGTGTTATTACTTTCCTTCCATTGCTTAGCTTGTAAATCATCCAATTAGCCAACTATAATACTTCTATTCAAGGCACCATTTTCGCAGGTATCATGCCCACATTAACCAACAACTGATGTCGTACAAAAGTTCAACATAACATCATCTTCCTGCTGATTATGTTGTCAATGAAAGGGCAAAAAATCAATTTATAAAAAATTTAAATTGTCTGTTTCTCAGGCACCCAATAAGATGAGAGAAGGTTACATCAATGAGAGAAGTGGAGGAGAAATGAGCACCATGGAAGATAGTGGTAGAAAGATAAGATGAAGAAAGAAATTGGGTTGGATTTTGATAGATATTTTGAACGGGCATGGTTCAGTTCACATCCTTGGACAATATACCAGTGACGAATGCAAAAGAAAGGAAGGCTTAGATGGTTTTTAATTGACCACCAAAGTAAAGAAGTTTCACTACTGCTCAGGTTTCTGTACTGACAAGAAGTATGCATGGGCCACAGCAGTTTGGCACTCAAATATCTTTTTTCTTATTTCCAGCAACAGGTATAATATCAATTGGTTGCATGGTCATGGTTCACTGGTTTGGCACTCATTGCTCTTTTTTGTTTCCAGTAAGTGGTATGACATGAACTGGTTGCATGGTACATTTTGAGCGAAATGCATCAACACACAGACACACAATACCAATATTGACAGAATATATCTTTATTCTTGCAACTTGCAAGTACTTCAATCTTTAAGGAACCCCTTATGTACTATATGATATGAACACTTGCCAACACATTAGACCAAGATTTGAAGTAGTGATGGCGTGAAAGAGAGAACATTAAGTAACACTGATAAGATCTGATGACCAAAGAGTTATTGGGTGGTAACAAGACAAATCTGCATTTGAGGATCCATTATGTTTCGCCATAAAGGTTGGTTACTGTTAAATAGAATACGCATGTAGATGTCAAATTTATTTGACATCAATTTTAAGCAAAGATTTAATATATGCTCTCATTAAACCAAAACGAGAGTACAAAGCAGCAGTTGCATACATATAAGAAGTGATTAATCAGGAGAAAGAAAAGGACATTGCAAGTAAAGAATCATCCTTGATTTCTAATGAAGCTGAAGTTTTATAATATTTGCTAAACATATCATCGAAAATTCAGTAGCAATATTGCACCTTTTAGTCAGGAGATCAATATGGTCCAAATCTTTGGTGATGCTATCACCGAGTTTTTCTATCTGCTTCCTTGGAAGGTCAGACAACAGAAGAATTCTTTGCTTCCTACAGATATGTAATGTGTTCAATATGGTGTTAGGCCTTAGGAGTAATGTGCCAACTCCCAAGGACACATCTCTAAGATGGAGTACATTGACAGGCAAATAATATTACCTCACTGTGGCTGTACCTAAGCGAATGGCAGACTCATGAAATTTATTAAGCTGCTTTAGTATAAAAGTCAGATGACTGTTTACTCCACAGATAATAATATGATCCTTTTCCATAACTTGCAACTGTGCTCCTTCTCTAATCTTTTGCATGTTGTTCTGCCAGCATATATTGGTGCAGGAATATGTTCTTAGCTTGAAATGGTACATCTTACACTTTGCATTTTTAAAAAATAAAAGTAAAATTCTGAAGAAAAACTTACTCGAAACTGTTCAGTCATTGTACTTAATAATCGGGAATAGAATAATATTCCCCAGATAGCAAGGACAAGACCAAGAATACGTTCAACACGAGTTTTTTGCTGCCAAACAACATAACAGCCTAAATTTTAGACCATTATCATTTACCACCATGTTACAATAAAAAAGGGTAAATGTATGAGTTATGATAACTTGTGGATAAAACATAAAACATTCAAAGAATATCAGTTTGTTGCTATGATACTTGATCATACTCTTAAATGAGTAGAAGATGTACAAAGGCATGCCCAAGCTTCCCAAAAACAATCTTCCAAAGACTGATCCTTGTTCCTAAATAAGCAGATCACAAATAGTTATACAGAGATGTCTAGGATAGCAGCTGAAGCAGGTACTGATAATCAACAACTGATAAAGGCATAAAGCTGATCTCAATGAACATCTAAGCAAGCAGAACACTAGCTTGTCAAGAAAAAAAAAATAGAATTCAAAAACTGACATTATCTTAGAAGCAAATTTAACAACCATAAGTACAGGAGATGCAGTTTAGAATGAAGAAAAGTATTTATAGACAACTTTGAAATATAAAATATTTATTTAAAAATTTAAAGTCAATGACAGGCTGAGTGGTTCCGGGCATGTTTTTAGTGGGATCAACAATAGGTAATTTATGTTTGAGATCAAGTCACACTGAGTGATTGGGCTTTCCCATTTTCTGCAGTTTTAAAAATGAACTTTTAGCCATTTATTTTAGCAGTCATCAATGAAGTGTGGTTAAAGGAACAAGATACTGACATGACATGTTACAGATTAGGACTATGTAGTTATGACAAGAAAATAAAATAAAGAACACAGATATCATAATAAAAAATAAGTTAAATTAAAAATTATACATGACAAAGTTGAACAAGTAATGCTCTGGCAGTGCATAACTATAAATCATGAAAGAAAATATTTATAGCAATAAAACATGTCTAGAATGTAGAAAAGAGATTAAGAACTCAATGATAAACAATTATCATCAAAATTCATAATCTGATGCTTAAACTCAATGACATAAACCATAATCTAACATGTATTTTTTTAATAGTTACCTAAAAAGTAAAACATCTCAAGGAAGTTTTTAAGATGTATCCAAGAAAATATCTTACAACCATTATACCTAACAAGTATCCCATAAGTATATGGCAACTTGGCAAGCAATTTAAAGTAACCATATATTCTAGGTTATTATTTTATGATATTTCCAGACCCCTGTTTTAAGTTATTTCAGTAACAGGAGTCAGTTTAGGTATAGCATAATTCAAGAATTTAGATCTCGTTCCATTACTGATCTCAATACTGAAACCTCTACGGCACTGGTATATGGTATATCGAGCCTTATATCAATGTGTACCACCTGAATTACTCGAAAAACCAATAGAAAATTAATACCAATCAATACTGGACTAGTGAGATAACAGATATGCACCATTTAGTGTCACTAAAATGTAATGAAACATTATATCGGCTGGTGTTGGACCTTATGATCTGCTACAAGTCCATGGTCAGATAGGTAAACAAACAGGTGATTCATAGTCCACACCTACTATACCCACCGGTATTTGAAACCATGGTTTGGTTAAGAAAGTGATTCTATCATTATTTGAGTTTAGCCAGTTACTGTAGTCCCTTTGAGATCTTGGGCTTCCATGATTCCTAAAATAGAAAAAAAAAAAAAAATCTTTTTGCTTGTTTCAGATTCTTATATAGTTGGGATTAGGAGATGGAGAATTACAAATATCAGGTAACACAACTTTTCTTAATTGATTAGATATGGTTGGTCAAAGGCCTAGGTGTCTCCTCTCTAACTGGGTCTTCTTGCTCTAATCTGTTAACTTTCTTTTCTCTTCTAATTCTCTTTCTATCGTACACTCATCCGCTATCATTTTGGTCCATAAAATATAACTGATTAGGAGTTGTGGCAATCATGATTTTCTATAAAATATAATTGTCCATCACAGATTTAATATTATATCGTAAACTTGGTCCTAACTCACAAACTAATTCCAAACCTCCAACTTTCTCTATCACTTATACTTCATATGATCTATATTCTTGTTCACTTCTGTAATAACAATAACATATTCCACAGTCTCACACCACAAGCCTATTGTTAGCCTCTCATTGATCCTTCTTCCAATCCATTCCCATGTATTTAATAGATCAAAAACAAGGTCAGATACAAAAACTTATGACCTACCTAAAGAAAATAGAAAGAGCTATGGACCATGGTTCACAACCGGCAAACTGAATATGCCACACTTCAATCATACTGACAAAACTAATGTAAATCCTACAAGTTCCTCGAATTGTACAACTTGAAGTAATGCTTCCAGACTAACTGAAAAGGAGAATGGGATGGGAAATCAAATAAAAAAGGAAGATCCCATACTAAAACTACAGTGGAGCAAAATCACAAATGCAGCCAATCCTCAATTCTCCAGAACACATGAGCACTGATCCAGAGTACAGGAATTCAACTGGTAGTGCTTCATTTGTTGATAATAGGCATTGACAGAAGAAAGATCCTTAGGACAAGAACACAATAAAATTAACTGGTGTAGGACAATTTTAAGTTCTGGGTTAGGCTAATTTAAGTCAGGGTTGCATCATCCAGTCAAGGTTAGGTCTTTTATTTTTCCTATAGTTTTTGGATGTATTTTCATTATCATGTGGTTGTTTTTAAAGTCCTATCTGAATCACATTGATATTAAGACATCCAACTTCAGGTATCATATGGCTTAAGTAAAGTTATTTAGCCTTTTGACTTTGAGTATTGAGAGTTCAAAAGGTCTCTTTACATGTGAATTTTTATGGGCTTCCAAATTTTCTAAAACAGGAAGTCATGTCCCTTGAGTATTTTTTGTATTTGAGCATCCTATTTTATTAGGACTTAAGAGTAGGAAAAAAATATTAATAATGAGCTTTACAAATGTATTAGTAATTTAATTTTATAAATATGTAAATGAAGGGTCTTGGCCTATACCCTCTAGAATCGGAGTACTTTCTCAATAAATCCATGTTACCTCTGGATTCTCATATAATCCTTTTTCTTTCATATACTCGGTTACTCTCATTCAAAGAGCAATGTTATTCAAGTTGCGATGCAACTATTTAGATAAATGCTGAGGCAAATTGTCTTCCATCAATATCGAGTAGTTGGTCAATATTATTTTTTTTCCAAAAGATAACACATTTCATTTTTCTACTGTTGGGGCCACCGATGTAATGAATTCAAAAAAGGATAATCTTGGCTGATATGGGAGGGAGGCCACCGAAGAATTTGATCGATACAAATGGCCAGAATCTGCAAGTATCTTATTGAGTTTCAGACCTTCAAGTTGTTGAGGAATTTATAATCACAAAATGATTCCTACTACAAAAATTGAGAACAAACAAAATCAAGTTTGCTACATAGCACACAAAATGCAATAAATTGGTTTATCATGGAGTCATCTTTTTACAATCTGCAGGACACAACTTCAGCTTTCCAATAAACATATGTTAGTGACCAACAGACCTTCAGTATGGTCCAACAATCAAGCCATGAAACTAAATAGAATATTATACTTGCATGAGTTCTGGAATGAGTACATGCAACAGAAAACATATTCTACTCTTGACATATATTTGCTCTATGTAGAAGAAAGACAACATAAATATCAAGGCAATAAGAGACAATAAAGCAACAGAACATCCAGGGTAAGATGACAAGGACCAGATGAAAATATATACGATAACCTGAATTTGTAGAATAGGATGCCTCCAATCATAACGAATGAGAAACATGCCACAAGTAATGCCACAAAAAACCTACAATTACAAGTAATATGAGTAGCAGATAAGAGAAAATGGTTCTAGATTTAACTCGTTAGTAAAAGTTTTATAAAGTCCACTACTTCAACAAGAAAAACCTAGTGTAGAAAGCGGTATATATAGTTTCACTTTTATTAATACATAGTTGAATAAAAAAAAGCTCCTAGTGGCAACAAGGATCGACATGTCATTTTGGCATGTACCAGCCTGAATCAAGATGCACCACACCAGATGTATCAAGGCATGTCATTTCAAATCGTGTAAGAGTGCTGACATATGATTAGGCCAAGTTTTATATTGTGTTTTTAGGTTGCAAAAACAAATTAGTGTTCTTAGGCACAAGGGTGTTTTGACCAGCATACAAGGAACCACATTATGCCAGAAATGCATTGCCCCCATGCCACAAAAAAGTAGCAATTCTTGTTTGGCAATATAGTAAAGATGATTTAGAGCTCCCTTAGTGGCACTTAATAGTACAGAATTAAAGTATACTTGCTAGTCAACAGCAAAAAAGTATGAAAAGGACAATTCAGAAGTTAATGGTAACTTGCTAGTAGAAATATCCTGCTACTAGACTTACATGCCAATATTTCGTTCAAGCTGGATGTTGAATAAATAATAAAGTCGAGCAATACTCCATTTAAGTTCTTGGAATGATGGAAAAGATACGTTTAACTGAAGAGGAATGGGTTTGTTTATAGAGCTAGAGTTGGACAAACAAGCAAAAGGCAAGGTACTGCCACACCATGGTAATGTACAAATTGTCCTCAATACTAAATGAATAGTATTTGACCATGCCAATCTGGACAAAAAGTAGAATGATACGCAGCGTAAAAGTACTTTAACTTGAAAAACCTGCAAAATGTTTAGACAAACAAGCTTATAAAATAGAACAGATGGAACTACAATTAGGAATTGTAACATGCTTTTGGTACAAACTTGTTTCACAATTATTATCCAAAGTAAATATATACAGAACTAAAAATCATAAAATGCTTCTGATACAAATTTGTTCCATAATCATAATGTAGATGTTTGATTGTGAAATTTACACACCACACATCAAGTGTTTAGAAGTGGTTCGATAGCATTAAGAATTAAGATATTCTGAGTTTCTGAGTATGAATAATATCCATGATTCTTGACAAAAAGATTTCTTCCACTGTTCTGAAAAAAAAACTTATTCTCATCAGAGAATCATTTCTGAGAATTATTCATAGATTAAAAGTACAAATTGTTGTACAAACGAAGATATTAGATTTAAATGGCTCACAACATAACAATAACAAAAACAATTTGATGCACAAACAAAGATATTAAAGACTAATGACGTGAAGCTTAACAATAAAGTTCTTTTAGTAGGGCCAACATCTGTCAGTCATGAGTCATCAACTCATCAACAAATGAAAAGCTCTAGCTTATTATTAAAGACTGGCTATTATCATTGTCAACAAACTCTTCAAGTCCTTTAAGTTCATCTTATATCAAGTTACTGCAAAATTTTAGTCTAATTAATAAAATATTATTATTGTCTGAGACTCTGAGATATTGTTCCCCCTTCTCTTGTCCACATATTGGAAGTTTTGTTATCGTAAGACAAGCAACCACTACTCCATTGCCAAATTGTAGGAAAAAGTGAACAAACTTATATCAGTGAAGATCTTACAGAGTTCAAGATACTATCACCGAGAGAACTTCAAGTTCCCAACTTTTCTAGGGCTTCATATAGTTGGTTCCCATCACATTCAGTCTTACAGTATGAAAACCACCTAATACAAGGTATTCAAGACCACAAGGAACTCAGATACATATCACATAAAGGTAAAAGAAAAGAAAGAACAAACAGAAAATTAAGCCTAAATGTTGCCAGGATTCCCTTGTATGATGAGGATAATGATGAAGCATATGATGAGGATTTGCAGTAAACAGTCCCACTGAATAGCCAGTTAAAGCTTCAGTCTAATCTTCTCCTTTAATCAGGTAATTATGAATTGTTCTCACAGTCACCAAGTAGCAGATATTGAAATTTGAAAGTATGAGATTACTATTTCACATCACCAATGAAACAAGCAAAATTATTCAGTACACCATTGACTCAATATATGGGTTCTAGTAGTGGCATCATTGAATAAGGGAATATAATAAGCACCTGCATAGCTTACTGAAAATTGAAATAAGCATAAAATTGCCATCACAATCATCCAGCAACAAAATTATTGAACCAAAGCAAAATGCAGACATATCAGGAGGCAAAAGTAGGTGTAATTAAGGAAGCATTACAATATAGTTTTTATCAAAGATGATATTCTTGCTAGTGTTATTTGCAGAGTTGGTGATGAGTGATCTAAAACACAAGATGTGCAAACTGAGAGTCCGTATGTTATCCAATCTTGTTGCTGACTTGGCCATTGTCTTTCCTGGGAGAAAAAGAAACAGGGAGTTTTAATACCAAAAAATGAACACAAATTAGTTTCATCAACTGTCACTGTATTTTAATTTTGGATGTTTAAGTAAATAACAAGAACATCCTCCATATATGGAGTCAGTTTAATATAAACTGTTTGTGTTCTTTATATCCATCCAAGAAGCCATAAATATCAAAGATCAAATGCATTAACACGAAAACATATTCAACCTTAGCATTAACACATGGATGAGATTGTGTATAAGCTCATTTTCTCAACATATAAACCTCTCATTAACACCAAGGAGAAAAGAAATATATTAGAGTCTTCATCATTGAACATCTGAATGAATTTTAAGATTGATCTCAACACAATCTCAACCTATTAAAAGCTAGTAGTAAGATTCTAACTTCTAAGGCAAGCCAATTAAGCAAGCGAGTGTTTTCCATGAAAGCTAGGTCATTCTGCATGCAGGAAGAATTAAATTTCTTGTTGTACTTTTAAGGCCAAACATTAAAGAAGAGCAATAATTCTGGGAACTCGATAATCCGCAGTTCTCTGATAGGCCTAACAGCTTAAACTGTTCAAATGTCATGACAGAAAAAGTAGGTTTTGCATTTAACCATGCATGTTTCCTATTTACAGTTTAAAATCACGAGTTGGCACAAACATAATTAGGAACGAAAAAAATAACTTTTGAACTTAACCATGCATGTTTAGTATATACAGTTTGTAAAGCACAAATTCTTAAAGACAAACGCCTATATATAAAACATCATTATGAACAGAGCCTCCAATTTTTTGACAGATCTAAGGGATATTAAGATAACACTATTCTAGAAAAACACAAAATATGACACTTTTTTAGAAACACAGAATATAAGGCATTTTTGCTTGTTATATAATAGCCCATCTGCATAAGTCTCAAATGTGTGCCTGGTAGAAATAGACATGATGTGGAAGATAAATCACAGAACTATGTTGACATCAATGATGTATGAGCGGAATACACTATATTTAATAGAAAGGTGAACATGAAACATAACAAAGGACAGGGTAAATGGAGCACAATAATGTAAATAGGATTTGGTCCAAAAGAAGAAAGAAACTGATGGACCATATAAGTTGAGAATTACAATTTCCTACCATGCTTAATATTTAAGGTCACTGGATCACAATAAGACATATATCTTCTACCAATAACTTTTACAAACATATTAGATATATAAAGCCATACTATAAGTATATATTCACGTTTTGTCATGAACATCAGTGTCAGCATGGGCACATCTAATTGTTAAAGAAAATATGTTTCCATGTAACATCTTTCATAAATGCGAAAACGGCATGATCAAGTATAATTATCAAACGGATGTTTCCATCCATTTTTAAAATATTGAAGATAAATGACAAGACTAGAAGAAATCCTATATAACAAGGTTACAATGTTCTCAGAGAGTAAAAGATATGGAGCACACCTGAAGAGTACTTTTGTAAATAGCTGGCACATGTCACTGAGGATTGTGTGCAATGACATTGAAAATGGAGAGAATTCCTGTTAGTGAGACTGCATTTTATTACAGAGTTACACAACAAGCAATAAGAATATTCCATAAAAGAAAGGAGACTGGTAGTCTTGTACTGCATCAACTGACTATCTAACCTAATTATTAAAATGCATCAACTTAAAGAACAAAAAGATTTTACTGTATATATAAACTTATGATTTGATCAAATAAAATAATCGATAGGTGTCAGTGGCTCCTAGTAGAGGAACAGATAGTTCTAATCTTAAGTATTGAAGCAATGGTGAATCACCAATGGCAAGTGAGAAAAGAAGATCAGAATTCTCTACCCAAATTGCTTTTGATAGTCAGTCAATGACTAGGCACATAAGATTAGACGATACACTCAAGCTACTACATCAAGCAAAAAAGAAGCAGAACTGTATGCCATTTTTAATAACTTTGTTTCCTCAAACTACCATGGCCTCAAATGCAGCCTAGACTTTGGAGACAGAGTATGGTCACAGATGCAGCTTAGACTTTAGAATCAAAGATAACTTCTCTGATTATGATGATAACAAGAGACTATTATTCCCAATTAATATCAGTTTGTCTATTCCTTGCTGAAGTTTAGCTCTATTGAGGCTGATGTCAATGAACAATCAAAAGGAATGGCATCTATCCTTAAATTGATGACCAAGTTTTCTTTTTTCTATCTTTCTCTCATCCAATCCCATCATCTATATTGACTCATCTTGCCTTACAAGTGCATCAGAGATTCTTGCAACCATGTCCAAATCACACAGACAATTTTCCACATTTAAACTTCTAATTTGTAATATTACAAGTTCCAACTCTCCACATGTACAATCCTAAGTTATGATAAATTTTACAGTGAGACCAGACAATTGTTCTGGCAAAGTCAATAGTTACTACCTAATATAGACTCTCACCAAGTATCACGGACTACGCTTTTCAATGGTTTTGAACACGGACTATCTTTTCGCCAACAGCACAATAAGACACAACTGATGACAAGGGTCACATGCTGACCAATACAAGCCAATCACATTGCGAGAATGTTGACCAATACAAGCCAAGCACAATAAGTCATATTTTTACAAAAGCTCTAGTTGACTTAGTTGGGAAGGGTCTTCTAAGTCTTAAGAAACATCTAGGATCATCGGCTTCTAACAAATGTCTTGCAGTGGTCAGTGACATAAGAAGGCCTTCTGCTACAGCCATTAAGCTGTTATAACTCTCTCACCGACTTTTCTCAAACAATCATGATCTTAGTCTACTTATCAATTTTCTCACGCATTTAAGTTTGTCAAGCTATTTTTATCAGTTTTTCCTAGTGATTTATTTTTGTCATAAGAAGCATTCAGTTGGCTTCTTCCAAAACATTATCATACCAACAAATAAGGTTGTAGGTCAAGCTATGAGTTCTAAATTCTGCACAATAGTGGAAATTACACCATTAAATCTAGACAAAATCTGTTAGTTGTTGATCCTCCTCACCTTAGTGTTTCTCTATCATGATCAACTTTTCCTAGTTCGAAAGAAAGACGCACTGCCTCAATATCATTAGTGAGATATTAGTTAAAAGCTTTAACATAAATGTTATGGAAAAAAACATGAGATTTCTCTGTGCAACCATAACTTGCAACAAGAAGTTAATTAATATTGTCTTTAGATGATAATACATGTGACTGAGTGCG